TACTTCTATGCAAAGCCCATGGCAGGGCAACCCTTTAGGAGCTTACAGCTCAGTGCCCATGGCAGGGTCACATTCAAGGTCCATGGCCTTACATTCAAGGTCCATGGCCTTACAGCTCAGTGCCCATGGCAGGGTCACATTCATTGAAAGCCAATGGCACGAAATAGCCAGCCAAAGGGTTCAACGCCCAGCTTTACGCTTTGTTCCCTTTCCCTTGGGGCGGGAGTGGAGGGAGCCGTAAAGCTGCCCCCAACACCATAAAAGCTTTCAACTAGCTACCTCATCCAATCAGTCGAAGCGACCATCTTGGATTCGCACAGCAGCTCAACCTTTTATGCCATGCACGAAGGTTCTGCATCCTTGACAAGTCAGTCAAGGGACCTGATTCAAAAGCCCATGGCAGGGCAACACTACTTCTATGCAAAGCCCATGGCAGGGCAACCCTTTAGGAGCTTACAGCTCAGTGCCCATGGCAGGGTCACATTCAAGGTCCATGGCCTTACATTCAAGGTCCATGGCCTTACAGCTCAGTGCCCATGGCAGGGTCACATTCATTGAAAGCCAATGGCACGAAATAGCCAGCCAAAGGGTTCAACGCCCAGCTTTACGCTTTGTTCCACGCTTCCCACTGTGGAAACAACAGTGCTCGTTGATGAATATCGACGAATAGCGAGCCACATTGAACTTAGCAGTCCAAGACATTTTCAGCCGAGGCAGCATCGATAAGCCATCAGCGATGTAAATACGGGCCACATTGGAATTTTTCCAACGTCCTCGGATCAACGTTCTTTCCATCAGGCCATGAGATTGCATCTCATAAGTGGCTCCTCCTCTACGGAGGCTGTAAGGCCTGAAATTCAAAGCTTGCAGATCCAAAGCTTCGAGTATCCTCCTAAAGAGGTCTCTGAAAGCAGACCCACTTCGGTCCCAACAGGGCGTGCGCTCAAAGCCCTGCGTACGTCTTAGGTCAACCATAGCTGCCACTGTCTCCAAGGTGAACCGGTCATGAATTGTGACACTTTCCCTGGTATTTTGCCTGACCCCACTTTTGCTTGACGGTATTGAAACCAACCCAACGGTCCTATCCTGAATAAAGTCACAAGGGCGGATCTGCAACAATTCCCCTGTCCTCATGAGACAGTGGAACCCAAGCAGCAAAAGTGCCGCCATGCAGAGTTCACAATGAGCAATGCAATAGCCAGCCATCCCCAGCACAATGTCCTGCGTCAAAGGCGGGGCACGGCACGGCACTTCGTAGCGGCGCCAGATTGAATAGAGGCGCCAGGACTTGGTGAGCTTCTTCTTGGTGAAGGGCTCAAAGTAGTGCAACCCGCTCAAAGCATCCCCAATAAGGTGCAGGGGGCATCCATCCTCAAATTCTGCCTGAATCCAGTCAGCGATGCTGTCATCCAGTTCTGCTTCTGAGCTGACAACCTCCAGAATGGGCTTCAGGCGCAAAACTGCATGGTGATACCTCTCCAACGTGGAGCGGGTGATACCTATGTCTTCTAGGACAATACTGACTCTGGCACGACGCCTGTCAGCCCGAGTGGCATGTCCTGCCCACTGATCACGATCGACTGTCATTATCAGTCGGATTCTCTGTTGATTCAATGTGCACCACAATGAGGTAGATGTCAAACGCCAATAGCAGCGCAGTCAACCGCGCCAGCAATGGCTTGAGCATGCGAGAGGACGTCCGACCCTTGGAGATAATGCTCATGCAAATATACGAGTCAGTTAAATGAAAGATTCTGCAATGACCCTCTTTAAGATGGGTAATCCTCCATTCCACTGCATGTATTATTGCTCTCATCTCCAATGCATTGATATGATCAGTTTTATCCCATCGGTAAGCGAACACCTTATCCCAGAGCCACCACCCTGCCGCCGCACTTTGGCGAGGGAAGCTCTTGGGATTGAGCAACATGCCACTTGCAATACGGACGTCGGAACCTGTGTGATTCACCCTTCTCAAAAGGCATCCGTGAATGGCAGAAACTGGGAGGTGCTTTTTCGTGGAACCATAAGCCAAACGCCTTTGCAGGGGGATTTTTACACCAATGTCACAACAAAACCCTGGTGCCATTCCCATACAGTTAAAGAGCGTGTCATAGTCGCTTATCTGTATCCAATCCTGGCAGAGCATGGCTGCCACGTAGGCAAAGGAAAAACAGCTGAAGCTATCACCAATTAGAGACTTGCGGAGATCCTCATACTCTTGGGGGGATTGCTTGATACCTCCTGCATTCATACAAAGCGAAGTGTGGTCAAACCCCAGGCCATGCAGAAGCTCTCTTTCTTGTGCATTAATCAAACGCCAGCGAGATCCTACCCACACAATAAATTGATCCTTGTATTGATATGGGGGGAACCGGAATTCGTCAGCAATCCATCTAAGACGTCCATCATGATTCACCCGATTCAACCCCGCTGGGCTAGGAGGGGGTTTGGCCCTTCTTATGCTTTTCATGCAAGTGGGCAAGATTGTCCCCTCAGCAAACCCGGGCCAAAGGGGCTCCAGCCACTGCGAAAGCTCAGGATACTCATGGGTGATTGTAACCTCATACCACCTGTCCTTTTCTTCCACAGTCACGCCATCCATGACCGCCAGGTCGGTGTTCAACCAGCAGTATCGGGGCCTATGCAAGGGCACCACATTACAAGGATCCAATCTCAGCGGTTTGACCCCTAAGATCGACGAGATCTCGTTCGATGCCCCCTCATCCATGCTGGCCACGTTCTCGATTGCAAACTTGACCTTGAAAAGGTATCCATATACTTTCCGGATATCCTTCAGAATACGCGGTATTTCAAAGAATAGGCCACTTGAGTCGCCTTCCAGATTCCTGCGTCCAACCTTGACCTTGCTGAGATCTACGCACGGGAATCCTCCCCACAAGTGGATTTCCTCCACCTGTGGGTAGAGATATCTCCACTGTCGAATTTCAGCCAAGGTGATGGACCTGACATCCCCGCATAGTTTCACATTAGGCCACCTTCGTCCGGTGACTCTGTTGGCCGGCGGATGCAGCTCATAGGATAGTGCCACACACGGGGTAACGCCACACAAATCATAGCAGCGAAAGGCACACCCCACCCCATTGAATAAGGACAGAACCAGCACCGGGATGATCTTTCCTCCTCCAAGGCCTGATCTGTCAATATCCGCAAACTCCATCCCAGCAGGGGTGAGGGCAGTGCTTTTTCCCACAGCACCTCCGGTCGAGCTTGCGTCACTGGCCGTAGTCACGCCACTGATCTCTGCCCGCAGGCTAGAATGGACCAAAAGGGCCGTGACACAGCACCCAAACAACTCACCCCTGACCTTAGCCTCAACGGTTGACCCAGAGGCTTGGCCAGAGATGTAGCTCCAGGTGTTGTCCAGCCAGACCATCGAAGGTCGGCGGAAAGCCATGCAGTGAACCCAGCGCCCTGCAATAACCTGAATCCATTTCTTCCGCAAGACTCCCTTGCCGATGACTACCAAAGTGCTCTGAATCAACCGCAGCAAGCGGTCAGGACCAGGCCCAATAGTACCTGCTTCCCCCTCCAGGTAGGCGCCCAGCTCGTTGACAGCCGGGGCCCCTGAGAGTCTCTTTTTGGCTGCAGACAGCACCCCAGCCTGAGTCCAGGCGTTTTCCAACTTGTCATGCAATTCCTTTCCGGCTACACCAACTCCGGGTCCAATACCCTTTTCCATTCCGCAAAAGTTGTCCAAATAGACATGATACCAGGGCTTCCCAGCCGCTCTGGCCAGGTCCAAGGTCTCCGTCATCCAAGCAGGCAGCGGCGATGTCCGCCGCACCTGGTGCAATGGAGGGAGCCTGCCCAGCACCGTAAGCTTCTCGGCCACCTCCTGCATCACGCTGACCGCTGAATGCCAGCCCATGGGAATCACGGCACAGCCCGGCCGATAAAGTGTCCCCGGCTGGAGTCCAAGGACATCGCCGGGAAAAGCCACATTGAAACTGAGCATCCGCGACCACCCAGGGGGGACCTTGAAGAGATAGAAAGCGGAAGACATATCACTTTGGAAAAAGGAAACCTGTTCATCAGCGTTCAGAACCAAGGATAGATACTGACAAATGGAAGGGAGGTCAGAAGTTGAACCCTCGAGCTGCCTGAAACAGGCATTTGAAGGTACCAAATTCATTATGGTGCGTTGGACTTCTTCGCCGTTTGACATAAAAGAATTTTTACCCACGGCAAACATTCCATTAAGCACTTTCTGACCATTCACTTCAAGGACATCCTCATCAGCGACCCAGGTGCAGATTCTTCTAGCAACCAACAACTTGAAGAAATCGAGGGACTCATCCACACGCACATGAACCTTTGCTTGCAACTTGACACCAGTTTTGGGGGCATCTACCAAGGACTCCTCAGGGTGTTCTAAAAACCAGCGCGTCCCTCCAGAAACAAGTCCCAAGACATCAATTGACCCACCATGTGATTCCGGGGGAAGGGCTTCAACAGCCGCACAAAACGAAATAACCTGCATTTTCGGCACTTCTTCCCCACTGTAGTTTACAAACCTGCTGGCTAGCTCTTTTTCTGCTTGCTGAGGCGACCGGTCAAGGCGGGTGTCTAAAGATAGCACTCTGGTGGTGCTGCGCCCGATGTTCTCAATGGCCTTCTCCTGAATGAGGGTTGGTTTCCTCTCAATGGCGGCACGGTCAAAGCCAGCCGTTCCATTCAACCCCAAAATGCCGAGGGCCGCCCAGACTTCAGCAGCTGTAATCCCCGCAAAATGCGAGGTGCAAAAGTCCGCCAGGCAGCTGAGTTGCGCCGCCTCACAAACCTTCGAAAACCGCCCCAAAGGAAGGGGAAAAAGGGGTCTTCTCCGTGAAGGAGTGACCCGGTGCATGGCATTGCTGGCCTTGGACTTTCCCATGACCATGTGCCTGACCGTAGCAGTCACCGTCCTCTCCATCTCCAACCTGTGAAAGTTAAAAAGGATCCAGCAGATGGCCCGGCCCAGCATCTCAAAATTATGACACCGGTCGGCCAAAAGTCGGAATGCAAAAACACCTTTCTCCAGGTGACGAGGCAAGGGCACGGCCTGCGCCAGCCCGGCCTGCAGTACCTGCAGCTCCGAATTCAGCCGGTGAAACTCATTCCCACCTTTCATTTCTTTGGTGGCTCCTCCTTGTTCTCCTTCCAGGGATTCTGCTCGCCCTTGCCTCCTGTCCATCCCTCCTTCTGGTTTCCTTTGCCTTTTCCCCGGCCTCCACGGCCCTTCACCTCGCCTTTCTTTCCTTTTTCTCTGTTGCCTCCAGCCTTGCCCCGGCCTCCCTGGCTCCACCAGCCGCCGCCCGGCGAGTATCCTTGACTCCTCATTACCAGGCGGCGATGTTTGTGGGCCTCTAACATCATGGCGGTGGTTGCCGAGGCCACAGGCTCCAGCGGGTAGAGCTCGAGGTGAGATGCCGTCGCCCACGACCCCTCGGTCAGGGCTGTGTGAACAGCCACGAACCGCGACGCCAGTGCGTCGGCCGTCTCGGGGAGCTTGCCCAACCTGAGAAGGTCTATCGACTGAGCTAATGCATATAGCTCTCTCAGTAGGGGCGAGGCCGGCGAGTGATAGGGCCTGATGAGCAGGGCGAAGTAGGTCGAGATTTTCACTCCCGACACTAACGACGCCTCCGCTCCCTCGGTCTCGAGGAGACTCGCCTGATCTAGCTGAGTCTGGGCTTGTCTGATCAGCATTTCCATCACTGATCCAGGCTCCTTCAGCGCTCTTCTTTTGAGCGGCGGCTCGCAACTGAGGTCGGAGTCGCTCTCGCTGGCAGGGCGTCTTCTTTTGGAATCGCCACTGCTGGAATCGCTGGAGCCACTTGAACCTGAGCTTCCGGGGCCGCCAGGATCGGGCTTGATCAGGCTCTGCTCCTCGACCGGGATCCTGCGGCTCTTCTTCTTCTTTTTCTTTTTCTTGTCCTTGCCACGTAGCAGGTCGAGGAGCTGTTGTGCTGCATCTCCCTTGCCCTTCTGCTTCTTCTTCTCGCGTCGCAGGCGGGCTTCTTGCGCCGATGTCTGCACGGCCTGGGCCAGCAGAGCTGACGCCGCCCCTCCCTTGGACGTCAACTTCTTCGTCAAGGACCCGATACCAGAAGCGCTTGAAGCCTCCGGGGGAAGGACTCCGAGGGGCGTCTGATGGCGTGGCGACAGTGATGTCCCAGTCACCAGCCGTGACTTCTCCACCACAGACTCGGACTGCTCTTGATCGGGTCCACCACTCACACCCTTGACGCGAGGGGCACGGGTCGCCCCAGCCCCGTCGCCAAGGATGCGGCGCTTGGTACGTTGAAGAAGCTCTCGAAGGTGTGAAGGGCTTTCTTCTCCAGACTCCAGCTCCGCAGGTCCTTCTTCCCCGTCGGAAGGCACTCGAATAACCGGGACTGGTCCCTTGTTTTTCCCTGGCGCTTTGTCGCCCTTGGGTTTGGGACGGGCCCGGAGGGCTGATTTGCGCTCTGAAGGGGCAGCCACTTGAGCCGCCGCCTCCATGCCACGCAGGATAGCCTTTCCCGCTGCGGTAATGTAATCTGCCCGAAAAGACTCCAGAGTCCAAAGCCTGATCTTTGCAGCATGTACCACATATACCTCGGTCTGAGTGCATGGGTCTTCTGGGCAAAGATGAACACCCCCATCTTGCAGAAGTCGATCGACCTCGTCTGCACAGTCTGGAACTTCGCATCCGAGGAGGCTTCCTAGGACCATGAACCCTTCCTGGGGGTTTCCGGAGACTCCCACCACATTCATAGCAAACCAGCCCTCGTGTCCAATGGCAACTGAACTGTTGTGAAGAGCAACTTCTAGAATGCTCCCCACTGGGATTTGCAGGCGGCTCCAAGCAGGCGACCGACTGTCCACCTCGGCGCCAATCTCGACGCCAAACTGAACAGAAGGCGCCTCCTTTTCCTCCTTCTTCTTTCTGGGCGCCATTGCTTCGCTTAAGGGGGCGAAGGGGCCCTGTCCCAGAACGAATCTGGGGGTCTATAATGAAACTTTCTAAACGGGTCTTCCGCCGCTTTGTGGTATTGCTGATGCTTGCTGCCAGCTCTGTGTGTTCTCTTTCCCGATTTGTTCTTGTTCTTCTTTTTGTGCTTTCTAGACCGGCCTCCTTCTTCCTCTGGATGATGGGCTCGGTGCTGATGATGGGCTCCTCTGTCTCGACGACTGCGAGACCGCCTCGATCGGTGATCTTCGTCGTGTGGTCTCTCCGTCTGGTGATGGCTAGCACGGGAATGGGCGCGATAATGCTCAGCCTCGTCCCTGCTATGCTCCCGGTCCCGGCGAGGTGAATACCGCCGATAAGACTCACGATCCGGACTCTTGTGGTGACCACTTGCTGTTCGAGGGACTTCCGTGTCCTCCTCTTTGCCACGCGACCTTGCGTTCTCCTTTGAAGAGGCGCGACTGTAGTCAGCCTCCTTCTCAGGGGAATGCTCCCGTGACAGGGGACCTTCAAGCTCTTCGCCTCTTCTTTCGGCGTGTCCTGACGACCGCCGGCGAGGGAGATCTTCTCGAGGATCTGCTCGTGCCTTTGGAACTGCCGTCAAGCCTGGGGGCTGCGATTTCTTCTCGGCCGCCTCGGCTTCAGACGGGCCGTCAGTGGCGTCTGTGTACTCGGAGTCCTCAGCCTCTTCCTCCTTGACTGTCCGCAGGGGCGCTGCCGCCTCCCGGGATGCTGGCTCAGCCGGAGGAGGCTTCGAGGCCTCAGGCCGGTCAGGTGCAGGAGGAGGGGCCTCGGCACGAGCTGGCGAAGAGGCCCGAACACGGCCCCCGCCTGCTATGCCCAGGCGTCGCAGCGCTCGCACTTGTCTGGTCGCGCTCACCAACAAGTCCTGGGCCAAGGCACGGGTGCCAGCCTGACCCCAGGCAAGTCGGAGCTCGCCAGACAGTGCCTCAAGCGCAGTGCAGCCTAGGCACCAAGTGTCAGCCAGGTGAGGGTCACCCTGGCCGCACTTATTACACCTCTTACTCATTTACTACCTTGAGCCGTAAAGCTGCCCCCAACACCATAAAAGCTTTCAACTAGCTACCTCATCCAATCAGTCGAAGCGACCATCTGTGATTGATTTTCCGTCATGTTCGGCACGAAATTGGGTGGTGTTTTGCTGTTTCGGCTGTGTTTTAAAAAAGGTGTCTGGCTGCTGGTTTCTTGCTTTATTAGAGGTAGCAGCAGCAATCAAAATTAGCGATCAAATTTGACTAAAATTAGATTTCTATTGGACAAAATTGGATTTCTAGTAGGATTTCAGAAGGGACGTTTCGGCCCCCGAAAACCTATTATTGTGATTGATTTTGCGTTATGTTCGGCACGAAATTACGTGGTGTTTTGCTGTTTCGGCTGTGTTTTACAAAAGGTGTCTGGCTGCTGGTTTCTTGCTTTATTATAGGTAGCAGCAGCAGTCAAAATTAGAGATCAAAATTGGACAAAATTGGATTCTAGTAGGATTTCAGAAGGGACGTTTCGGCCCCCGAAAACTTAATATTGTGATTGATTTTCCGTCATGTTCGGCACGAAATTGGGTGGTGTTTGCTGTTTCGGCTGTGTTTTAAAAAAGGTGTCTGGCTGCTGGTTTCTCGCTTTATTAGAGGCAACAGCAGCAACAAACAGTGGTATAAACATTGGTCGAAAACTATAAACATTGGTATATTATTGTGATTGATTTTGCGTCATGTTCGGCACGAAATTAGGTGTCTGGCTGCTGGTTTCTTACTTTATTAGAGGCAGTAGCAGCAATCAAAATTAGAGATCAAATTGGACAAAATTAGATTTCTATTGGACAAAGTTGGATTTCTAGTAGGATTTCAGAAGGGACGTTTCGGCCCCCGAAAACCTATTCTTGTGATTGATTTTGCGTCATGTTCGGCAGGAAATTAGGTGGTGTTTTGCTGTTTCGGCTGTGCTTTAAAAAAGGTGTCTGGCTGCTGGTTTCTTGCTTTATTATAGGCAGCAGCAGCAGTCAAAATTAGAGATCAAAATTGGACAAAATTGGATTTCTAGTAGGAGTTCAGAAGGGACGTTTCGGCCCCCGAAAACCTAATATTGTGATTGATTTTCCGTCATGTTCGGCACGTAATTGGGTGGTGTTTTGCTGTTTCGGCTGTGTTTTAAAAAAGGTGTCTGGCTGCTGGTTTCTTGCTTTATTAGAGGTGGCAGCAGCAATCAAAATTAGCGATCAATCAAATTTGACTAAAATTAGATTTCTATTGGACAAAATTGGATTTCTAGTAGGATTTCAGAAGGGACGTTTCGGCCCCCGAAAACCTATTATTGTGATTGATTTTGCGTTATGTTCGGCACGAAATTAGGTGGTGTTTTGCTGTTTCGGTTGTGTTTTACAAAAGGTGTCTGGCTGCTGGTTTCTTGCTTGTGATAATGCATTTGCCAAAGTTTCTCGTCACACAGCTTGCCTGTTTCACCAGCAATCCCCGATTCTTTACCGGGGTCGGCGGCAGGGGCGGCAGCCCTTAAATCCGGCGACGCCTCGCCGTGTCGTGTGGGGAAGCTAAGCATAGCTTTAGCTACCCGGGGGCGCGCCCCTGCCGCCGACCCTCCCCAGAAATCCTTTAGCCTGGTGGGGTTTTCACGTTTTTCGGGGTCTGGGGTGGACAAAAAGATGGTAAAATTTGAAGATGCGTTTTGGAGGTCCCAAAAATCGGAAAAAAGTACCGTTTTGACACATTTTTCGGACGATTTTTCGCTTTTCGGAAGTCACAAAATGCTGTAAATTACAACATTTTTGCGTTTTACCGTCGTTGGCGGGAGCCATGCAAAAACGCAGAAAATGCTGTAAATACCAGTACTTTTTGGACCCGAGATGCACAAAACACTGCAAATACCAGTGTTTTTGAAAGCCAAGCAAAAAAACATTGTAAATTACAGCATTTTTGGCGGGTTGATCGCAAAAAATGCTGGTATTTACAATGTTTCTGCAATTTCAAGCAACGTGGAAGGCACGAAACACTGTAAATAGCGGTGTTTTGGCAACTTTTGGACGCCGAAACGCTGGTATTTACGCAGTTTTTTGCTTGTGACGGGGCCACTCCCCTGTAAATTACAGCATTTTTTGCACTTTTTGAACCGATTTTTTGTCTTGATGAATGCAAAAAACGCTGGTATTTACACGTTTTTCAAAAAATCGAAGATCGTGATGTGAACGAAACTCTGTAAATAAGAGTGTTTTAGCCACTTTCGGGGACTAAAACTGTGGTATTTACACGGGTTCTTACCATCTCACAGCACAAAATGCTGTAAATTACAACACTAGGCATAGGCCATAGGCCAACATAGCCTCAAGATGGGCCAACATAGCCCCAAGATGGGCCAACATAGCCAGGCCGCCGACCCTCAGCATGTCATGTTCGCAAGTTCAGATGACATCCCCCTCTCTCTTTCCCTCCCCCGACCCTACCGGCGTCGCCCGGCGTCGCCGGTGTGCGAAGCTCTACAATAATCTCCTTAGAATGTGTGTCTGTGTGTGGTTTGTCTCTCGGTCTCTGGGTGTGTGCCTGTGTGCCTTTGTGTGTGTGTGTGTTTGTTCGTGCCTGTGCATTTCTTTGTCTGCCTCGAACTCAAATTGATTTTAGGGCATGGCCGGAAGCAAAGCTCGCTGTAAAAGTTCGTTCAAGCAGCGCAAAACCAGAGACCCAGAGCCTCAGTCAGGACATTTCGGAGGTTTCAGGTTTGCATTCATATTGTGACTCCTTGGAAAAATGTCCGAGTTACGAGTTACCCTTCAAAGTTTAGAGGGAGTGACATCTTTTTGCAATTTGCAAGCTCTTCAGGGCAGCAGAAACTGTGCTCATCACACGTATCTGGCACGGAAACGCCCGACATGAGTACCTCGTCCACTGCGAGCTGTCTAGACTGTCCACTTAGCAAGATTTAAGCTTCGCCAATTCCCGCCTCATGCAGGATAAAGTGGAAAATGTGCCACCGCACATAGCCACCCCGAAGTGCATGATCCTCAGTCCCAGAACGGCTGCAAACAGTTAAACTCTCAGAAAATCCTCAGGTTGCAGCATCTTCAAGAAGGACTCCGCTTATTGCGAAGCAAAGGAATTGACCTCACATCACACCAATACGGAGCCAACAAGATAAGATCAAGCAGGGAGAAATGGAACATTCCGGCCACCGCGACATACTCAAATCTTTGACTTTTGTCCCAGACCCAGCTGGCTTTCTTCATTCCAGTAGCTCCCTGCGCGTAATTTCTGACCTAGGAGCAGTTTACAACTAAACTCCCACTGTAGAAGTGCGAGGAAGACAGGAGGGCAAGGTGCTGATTCAAAAGCGTATAAGTTGACGCAATACCGAGTGAATTGACTCAATTGACCATTGCCGAAAAGTGGAAGCAGAGAAAGCAGAGGAAGCAGAGGAAGCAGAGGAAGCAGAGGAAGCAGAACATGGCTCCAGAGACCTGAGCCATCTTAAGCCTTGGCAGCACTGTCACTAATGAAAGGTCCTGGCCAAAAGGACCCGAGAGCAGGTTTCCACTCGTTGCAGAAAGCTCCTACCAGGCAACCGGTTCAACTGCACTTGACCTCCCAGGACAGCAAGTTGGAGTTTGCTCCAAACCTTAAATCAACATCAATCAATCATTTAGATCAGTTCAATCACTTGTGTCTATGTCTGTCTATGTGCCTGTGTCACCAGTGTGTCTGTGTGCGTGTGTGTGTGTGTGTGTGTGTGTGTGTGTGTGTGTGTGTGTGTGTGTGTGTGTGTGTGTGTGTGTTTTTCCTACCCCATAACACCTTTGTCGTGTCAGCAGGCGAGCCCAGCAACAGCGTTTTGCTGCCGGCCTCCCCACAGCAGATTTGGACGTCCGCTGCCATGGGGAGGTCTTCACACTAGTCTATCCCTAAGGATTACATTGGAGAAATGAAATGGTGAAAAATCCGCATAATCCCCAAGTAGTTGTTAGTGGACAGCTGACACACCAAAATCAAAAAGAAGAAAGTGAAAAGGTCTCTCTCAGCCGCTGCCGCCAGTCAGCTGCAATTGCAAGGGTGCACTGCCGCAGGACTCCAAATCCAGCAGCTGCCAGCGCAAGAATTGCAAGAAGCTCCAGCAGCCCAATGAAGGCAGCGCCATTAGTGCATGCAAGTGGCTTGCTGTCATACATGAAAGTGTGCAAGAGGTTCAAAAGCACTGCAAAACGCTGTGAAGCTCAAGCTCTTTCACCATCGTGAAGTCAACATCGGATTGCGCTCGGTCTGAACCATCGGGATCTGGTCTCCAGCTTCTGTCATCGTCCTGACATTGCGCATTGTGGGTCGAACCAACCAATACATGCAGCTGTTGCGGCAAACGTATGTTGGCAATTCCTGGACTTTGGTTGGAAGTGCATCATCGTCGTACAGCAACCATTGACCTTGATACCTTAAGCCTGCTCGATAGTGTCCAGTGAAGGGAGAATCCCCTAAATGAAAGATCACAGCGCACAGCTCAAAGGTGTCCATGGAAATGTCTCCCTCCGCACTGCTGAAACATGGTACCACAACTCGATTGTTCAAACATTGGATTGCTTGCAAACATTTGGAATGTGAAAGGTCATGTCGATCAACAGCAAGGATGAGCTGGTGACCAACCTCCGTAACTGCTCGGCAAAGACCTAGTGCATCGTGCCAGGCATGGATGAGATCTTGCAGTTGACATGAATCTGTGCCGAAATCACTAAATTGAAGTTTGATCGGTGAAAACTGAGAACCTTTTTCGTGAGCCAAGTGCACCGAGTCCACTCCATCTGCAAAGGATGGACGATTGTCCCAGCTGCAATTGAGAAATCTCGGTCTGGTAAAATTGAGAAGATATGAACAGAATTCTGAGGCGTCTTGTTGCTGTCCAAGAAATCTCTCAATTGACCATTCCCCAGTTAACAACCAACCAAAAGGGCCATGTCGCATCAAATCCAACGGTATCAGACTGTTGGAAACTACATTTCTCATCAACTCAAATCCACTGTGCCACAACTCATAGACGAAACCGCCTGACAAAAGCATCAGCCAAGCAAGGCTCGCAACCACAGAGTTTGCCGCACATGCTTTTCCTGTAGGGTTTCTGAAAAGGCGCACAACGCCATACCTCACATGGCTTTCTGAAGTTGAACTGCCAGCGGCTGTCGGGCCAATGTCTTCGGCTTCAATCTCACCTGAATGAGTTGCCAAATGGCGTGATGTGAAAGAGCTGCCAATTGTTGCTGAAGCTCCGGACTGTTGCGAAGGGAGAGAGTCCACAACCACGGCACCGGCTGCTGAATCTGCTCCTCGTCCTGCTGCCTCTTGAGGGCGTGAAAACGTAATGTCACACTGCTGTCGGCCATCAGCCTCACAATGCTGCAAACGTTCTTGTATGCCACTGCGATCGGAATGCCAGGTGCCTCCGTCGGCTGCAAACATCTGTGTTGATGGTTCCAACGGAGGAACGGCATGGTGCGATCTTGATTGTTGACCACCAAATGGTACTGGACACAATCCTTGAACAAATCCTCCGTCGGTTTGGCCTCCATGAGGATCTTGGTGCGCGCCTCCAAGGTCTGCATCATGGTGAGCGCCAGGAGGTGCCTCAAAGGCATCGTGCGCACGTGGCTGTCTTGGTGCCAGGAGCGACTCACTTGGAGGAGTTGAGGAAGGATGCTCCCTGTGCCCGGGTTCAGATGTAACATGAACTCCGATTCTTGGAGTAACACGTTGATTGTCCTCGTGTCGAATCACGAGTTTCGTCAACTTGACCAGCAATTCCGACGGCACTGTGGCCTTGTGCTGAGCTTTGGACTTGTTGTCCTTCTTCCTGGATTGCTCTGGCCGAGGCCGTTTGTTGCTGCCGGCTGGTTCTCCATCGATTCCAAGAGCCTTCATCTGTTCTTTGTTCAGCAAAGGGCCCCAAATCTTGTTTGCTGCATCGATCCCCTCTGTGTCCTCTAATCCCGTATCCATTGGTCAAAAAGATGGCGAGGTTCAGGAGAGAAAGGCACGGTTGGTCGTGTTGCTGTCTACCACAAAAATCACACGGCATAGGACAGTTCAAAATCAATCTGTGATAACACATCAGTGCCAGCATCTGGAAATGATTGTGCATGCTATGCAAATGCTCTGTGAACTTTTGTGGCAGGAAGAAACACTTTGAGCAAAGAAGACACCGGTGGTTGACGGTTGTGGCAATCAATGGATCCTTCAACATCACAAGGCCGCTCTGTGCCAGAAGATCAATTGAAAGCCCAAAAGTATCTGAGGTGTCGGCATTGAACTGCCACAACTTTAATTCTTCCTGTCGTTGTGCCGCTGCAATGGCCTCATGAGTCGGCCAAATCAGAGGCTGCAGAGAGGGTTTCGACCAGACCGGAATCATCAGCAGGATGGCAAATTGAATCACAAGTGGACAGCGGACCAAATGCTCCTCTGGATATTCAATCAAATCATCTCCCTCAAGACGACATGGGAGCACAGTGCCGCACCACTCGCATTGGCCACCTGCAGTCATCAGCTGTGCAAAGACAGCGCAAAGTTGGTAGGTCAAAAATCTGAGTCGATCATCTGTTTGACCATGGATTGCAACCAGATGAGCCAGGAGCCTGTCAAAGGGGATCTCCTCCTGACAAAAGAGGCAGTTGTTGCACAACATTTTCTGCAGTGTGGAATCGTCCCAAATCTGGTGAAAATTTCGAGTCATCAAGGCCATGGTCACCTTTTGCAAGGTCTGCAGGGGCAGCAGGGGCTCCAGCACTGCAGATAGTTCCACTGAGGAGAAGGTCCATGGCAAGATCAATTGCCAATTGTAATCAACTGCAACCATCGCAAGTTGACTCAAACTCACGCATTCATGAAGGGCCTCACCCCAGCCGCAGCTGGGGTTACAAAAGCAACCCAAGTCCATGAACAATGCCCATTGCAGCAATTCCTTAATGTGGAGCGTCTCCTGCAGGATTGCGGCATGTTGTTCATGAAGATGCAAGTGTAATTGTGCTGCGGTGCCAAAACGTTGCCCACATAATTGACAGCTGGTTGTGAGTGAAAAACGCACTTGCCGTTTCTTGTACAAGAGTTTCACATGCCCATTCCACAGCAAGGGCTCGATTTGCTCTGCCAGGCTCATCATCATGTCTGGAGGCAAAGATGGCGATGAAGGTGCTTGCTCTCGCTCCAACTCAATCCTCAACAGAATGAACTGCAAGTAAAGAGTGCAAATATGCTTGCTATGCATCTGAGGTTGACAAAGACATCCATGAAGCGGTTTGTACAAATTGTCCAAGAGAATAGCACGTTTTTCGCACTCATGCCATTCAGATGAATGATTGTGTTTGAAATGACGAGTCAGTTCCTGTCTTCTGGTGAACTGACGATTGCAAGTGACACACCTTGTCGCCAGAAACTGTTGTACTTCAGCCAGCTGCAGCAGATCTTCACAACGATTGTTTTGGACAGCCTCGTGCAGTTGACAATGAATGTCAATGATGTTGGCATCCACGCTGGTGCAGTCCTCCGTGGCACGATGGTACTCCTTCATGTGCTTCTGCAGGCCATGCTTCGTGGTGTAAGCCTTGAAACAAACTGGACAAGTGATGGCTTCAGTTGGCCCAGTCTGTGGAACTTCCAGACCCTCACGTGTGAGTAGCATTGCCATCTGCCGCACCAGTATGCATTTGTGGTACTGTTTGAAGGCAATTCCACAAAGAGGACATGGAGAGGGCAGGGAGAAGGCTTGGAGCAGTGAGACATTATGTCCTTCATGACGTCTGAAGAGATCCCCATGCATGGTCTGAAAATGGGTCAACAATCCTCTCGGTGTGATACAGAAATGCTGACATAGACTGCATCTCGTGTGAAAATAAGCAAGCAGTTCCGGCTTCTGAACCAAGGCCTGCAGCAAATTGCTGTTGGCAAATTGCAGAAGTTCCTGAACGCGGAGTCTGTGTTCAACTTCTTCAACTGGGTCCTCACCGGAGTCTGCTGGCTCCTGTCGTGTTGAATCGCACACAAATTTCACATGATATTGAAAGCGTGTCCATGTTGTGAAACGTTGACCACATCTGAAACAAGTTGGGAGTCCCTCACGTTCATCATAAGAATGGCATTGTCTAAAGGCACCTGTTCTGGCTCCATGTTCCAGGGTCAAGTGCCTACGCAAGGCTGCTCTTGAAACAAAAATCATGCTGCATAGGTGGCATTCTAGTTGAGAGTCTGGCTCCGGTACATCAAAGTGATGCCAGCGTGCTCGCAAGCGACTCCACTCCGCCAAAATCACCTGTTGTCGTTCAGCATATTTGATGATGGGAAACGTCCATAAGATGTCATTGTCTGCCAATGTGACCCTTCGTTGAGCTTCCCGCTGTTCAGCTTGCTTGCAAAATTGAAGCAGCAGCTCCAGGGGATCAGCGATGTTGTGCAGGGTCAGAAACTCTTGATGTGTTGTATGTTGTAAATGCGTTGGAGCTTTACAGATACGTCTCAAGTGTTTGAAGCAGGCAATATCAAAGAGCCTAATTGATGAGGCATGGAACCCAATTGGTATAAGACTGTATCTAATGCAAGCAAAAGTGCATTGTCTCCAGACTTTGACTTTCTGGGTGATGTTGAATCCTTTTTGTGAGTGCAACCATCGGGTAAGTTGTTGGCTAGTTTTGTCACCTGCCTTGATCCTTGACAGCATGGTTTGTCGTTCAAAGTTGTAGTAACTAACCGTGGCACCAAGATATTGAATGTGTTTCACCAACTTGATAAAAGTGAAGGATCCATTGCTTCGAGGTATGCGCAGCCATGCACCCCCACGTCTTCCACGTTTGACAAATAATCGTTGTGCACATGGTGACATCGGTCCCACTAGGCGCAACATTGCTGTTGTTTTCTCCAGATTGACAGTCATTGCAAAAGACTCCAGCACATCTAAGGTCCTGCCCAAAAACAAAATCAGTTGTTGAAGCTCAGCAATGGAGTGCACTGCCTGATGAAAGCAACCATCATCGGCAAAAAGTGTAATGCAATGGAGCATCCAATCAGTGCTTGTCTGTTCAGCAATGGATAGTAAGATCAATGCCGCCTGTGCTGTCCATAGGCATGGTGCCGCTTTGCACCCCTGCCTGATGCCACGTTTGGTGCTGAAATCTCGATGGCATTGTCGATACTCGAAATGAAAACTGGTACGACTATAAAGGGATTTCAAAAAGTTCAATAGATCTGAGGAGATGCCAAGCTTTGCCAAACCTGTGAACAACTGGGATCGTCGCACTGCGTCAAAGGCCTTGGATAGGTCCAGACTTAGAAGAAGACCACCGCCAAGAGCACCTGGCAAAGTCCCAGTGGATTGTTGATGCACTGCAAACTTGAAGGTGTCAATACAATCCCGGACCTCCAAACAATGTAGGGCAATGCGATGCAGGGCATCATCACACCCACGGCCTGGAACGTAAGCGAATTGGGGTAATCCCCGCAAATTTGGCCACAGTTGTTCATGCAATTGTCGTGATAAACAGCCCATCAGTACCTTGCCGCATGGTTCCAACAGGGCAATAGGTCGAAGGTCCTGCGGTCTCTGAGTTCTTGACTTTGTCTTTGATAGGAAACACAAGTGTCCTTGACTCCATGACGCCGGCAAACTGGCTGCCTGGCCACATTCCCAAAAATAGGAATCCAAATGACAGGAGATTGGTGCAGCAGTCCACCTCCAAAAGGGAGCTGGTGCAAATCGTGGGTCAAGTGCCTTTGCAAGAGGTAATTGTTCGAGACCCGTCTGAAACTCTGTCATTGAAAAGGGCCAGTCAAAAGCGCATGCCTCTTCTGAAGGCTGATCATCATGATAAAGCTGCTGAAACCAGTCGGCCAGGAGATCGGCTGCCTGATCAGGGCTCAGCATCTCGCCATTGTTTGATCTGAGTGTAACTCTCTGAAAAGTTTGTTTGGGTGCCAGAGTTCTGATTGCCTGATACATTCGAAAAGGATTGTCAGCACGTTCAGCTGCTGCAGCTGCATCATAAATCTTCTGCAATTTGGCCTTCCGTGCAGTTTTGGCTGTCGTTCTCATCTGCTTTCTTGCGCTACTTCTCTGTCGAATGTGATACCATGCCTTGAAGATGTTCCCCAGGCTTAGATCACGTAGGGCTGCAAGATGCGCCGTGTGAATCTGAAACAATTGAAAAGGCGTGGTAATTTGACGATAAACAGATTCATTCACAGGTGTTCTGAAATCAGGTGTAAAGGCATTGAGAGCCTGGTGTATGTCATCCAAAGGTTTGGAACTCATTCTCAAATGTTGCACAGAGTGTTGAACTTGCTGTTGGAGTTGTTGAGTACGTTCATTTGGATGAAGCCATTGCTGACAAAGCTCAAGCCTCTGTGCTTTGCTCCAGCCAGTCTTGTTCTCGGCCTTCTCCAAATGCCAAACCTTCAGAAGTGATGTCATCAACGGTACATGATTGGCACCTGTGAGTCCACGCAATGGGAAGTCATGAAGGTATTGTACATTTCGTGAAGTAGCATCTGCCAAATGAGAACGACAGAAAATGAAATCAATCCTGGAATGTCGATTGTCAAAAGTGAAAGTGGGTCCATGGTGGTGATGCCATGTGTTGAGAGCCACAAGGTTGTGAATATCAAGCATGTTGTGCAGCACGTGCGCGTCTTGGTGTGTTGGACCCCGACTCCTGCCTGTTTGCCAGCAGTATGTGTCCATGCCCACCGAGCTCGATCGTCGTTGGAGAGAAGTGTTCATGTCTCCCAGCAGGATCACATTATTGCGTTTTGGCAAGGAGTCCAGCAAAATGGATAGTTGATGCCAAAGTTGACTGCGCAAATCCATTCTATCCGACGCATGCACATGTTGATAAACATTCACCACATCAATGGGTTTGTTGCTACCATGGATTCTCAGGTGCAAGATACGCCCTGGGACTGGTTCATGCCATGTCAGGAGATGGGCTGGACACAATCTTTTGGAAACCAGACACATCAGGCCTCCGCCACGTTGGCCTGTGCCACTATGCATCACCCAATAACGCTCTTGTGCCCATTCAGAAGAGAAGGGCCAATGGGTCTCCTGCAGGGCGATGATGTCAATGGATTGCTTCTCCAACCACAGTTGTAAGGCGTCCCATGCATCTGACGTGAGGCCCCCCGCATTCCAGTTGAAACACAAGAGTCGTTGTCTGCGTTTCGAACTTGGTGCTGAAAGATTTGGAGGAGTAGGTCTGTCAGTCCTTTGATTGGTGTTTTGTACCCCTAAGGTTTCTGCACTGACCAAATTTCCTCGATACCACGTATAACCATGTTGTCTGGCCCGATTGCACGCACGCTTGTAGCTGCGTTTGGCCACTGTTCTGCAAATGTGACTAGTGTGATACGGTTCGTAAACCCTCTGGGGCTCCTGGTCATGTGTTTTCGCAGCGCTGTTGAAGGCTGCTCCCTCGTGATGCATGACCATCACGAAACCCTCACCCCTAATCGTGCAACTGGTCAAGGATACAAAAATTGAAATCCAGACAAGAAAAATTGTGGTGACTCTGCACGTGCACGATCCTCGGACTTGGGACCGAGTTGCGGTCTTGGTTGATGTACTCCAGCTTATAGGTCGGGTCCAGGCTATCGGAGCAAGAAACAGAAATGATGTCAACGTCCAGAACCCCACCACACTTAAGGGCACGTTGTCCAACAGAAATGAGCAGGGTGTAGTCAAAATCAACTGGAGTTTGTCCCAGCTCCCGAAAAAGCAATTAATCAGGCCAGTTAAAAGCAATACGGGAGCCCACCCCATGTAAATAAGGGGAGCCACCCCCACCAAAAAGGCCAGAGAAAAGGAGCTGAATCCGCCAGGTGAAGAAAGTCCTAGTAGTGGAAGCGCAGCAAGGATGCCCAGCAAGCCACCGCTGCCAGAAGACGCCGGCTGCCCACCGAGCTGCTGGCCACAACACCGCACTTGGGAATTGGCCAGAGACCCAAGCAACAAAGCCGCCAGCTCCGTGCCGGCGAACAAGTTACCCAAGGAACAGTCGTGGGGCAACAGCTGCGGCTGCAACCTAGGATATTTCACCTTGATGGCGGTACTCGCGACCGCAAAGGGGCTTGTGTGTGTGTGTGTGCGTGCCGCGTCCTGCAGGCGCAGTTGTGAAGGTAGCGAATCCTCTCTCAACTTGGCTGGGTCCAGTTTGGATTCAGCCTGGCCAGCGGTCAACATCAGTATCGCATGCTCAAACCAAACTTGTCGAAGCATCTGCTCTTTGAATAGACATCGCTTTCAAAATCTGGCCTGTGTATGACACATGCAAACCAAGACCAAACAAAGCCTGAGTTTTGCTTTGAAAGATTTTGAATAAATCACAGCACAAAGTAAAGATGCTGGTTTGCAACTTGAAACGGTTGGCATTTCAGGTCAAAACCGCACAAGGAAAATCGGAAAGGCTAGACTGACAAAAGTTGGGGAAGTGCTACGTACCCGGCTTTATGCTGACATCATTGTGCTCCTGGTGCGCTGCATCAAATCAGGAGAAATCAAATTGTTGATTAAATGTAGCACAAGTTGCTCCTCCCGTAGGACAAGGTCCAGATCAGACACCGTGAAACCTTGCCCAATAGGAGCGTGCTGCGATGTAACCTCATGGGTCGAGTAAGATGCGCCGTTATGCTAAACAAAGTCAGTCAACTCCCAGGCAAATCCCGAGGCAAGTGAAACAAGCTACACCACACCATCGTCTGTGCAAACTAAGCTGGGCACTACATGGGGAAGCAGAGAGAGGACAAGCTCAGCCTCTTCCAACGTTGCTTGGAAAGCCGTAAAGTACGCCAACAAGGTCTCCACCTCAAAGGCCGACACAAACCGACACACATTGATCAATTGATGTAGATTGATTTCGATTGACCCTTGCAAGGATTTGTTTCTTTGCTTGGGCCAATTGTGGCAATCGACCTGACTCGAAATATCGCTGAGGATGCTACCAGCAGTTGGATCATGGTCCCAGCATGAAGCAGAAACGCTTGATCCTGGGTTTGCGATCAAAGATGTGTAACTTAGAGTAACTTCTTCATGGCTTTCTTATTCAGGAACTTAAGTGCCTTGGTTTCACTTTTTGTTCTAAGTCACTCCCGCTCGATCTCCAGTGAGGTCTCGAAGAAGAAGCCCCAGAGCTTCAAACAATGCAGCTATGCATTTCTTTCCTGTACACTGCAGACGTTGCACAGCTAGGCATTGGTGAAACAGCCACAAACAGCCATGCACAGCCACTTTGCACTGTATGTACTTACCCTCCAGGGAGCCTCCCAAAAGGCCAAAGAAAGCAACGCTCGCTTTCTGAGGAGTGCTTCGAGCCTGAGAAAGGCCATTGCCGGTGAGGTCCTGCCTTGAGAAAATGCTTTGTAGTATGGTTTCATAATATATCATAATATCTATGCAATATATCATGTCCACATTTACTATGGCGATTACTCCGATGGGGCCAATGCAAGGCCATCCGGGCTCCCCGCCAACCCTTGACTCATGTCATGTAGGCAGAGGGCCTGCCATCATGCAGGCCCAGTCGTACAAATTGTAGCAGCAACAATAGGTTAGTTGATCTCAAGAATAGAAACAAGAAGAGAACACCAGCAACGCCACAAAGCACTGAGAACACTCAGGAATCTTGAGTACCAACTCGAACGGGTGCGAAAAACAAGCAAATAGCAGTCAGAGTCAAAAAGAAGTGAAACGATGTGTTATCAAGTGGGACCAAACAGCCTTGAGGAATGGCATGGCAGAAGGAGTGGACGAGGGAAATGTGATGAGTCTACTTCGTGGAGCTTCTGGTTTGGTCATGTTGTCAGGAGCTGTGACTAGAAGGCTACACTTAAAACGACACGTTGACAAAAATCGCGAGAAAGAGAGAAAGAGAGAGAGGAGGTGGGCAAAATGAGGAGTAATGTAGCTGCATTTGCACTGTATCTCTTCCCCCACATAGTGCTGCTCAGAGGTCCAGGCCACATATCATTTTCATGTTTGGGCACCCACATTCTCCAATGTTCCCAATCTTCAGCCCGGAGAGCTTTCGCGAAAGTTGCGGGGAAGTATTGAAGTATTACAAAGTCAAGAAGGTAACAAGCTGGACAAAGACAAGAGCAAAGACCAGTACAGACCCAAGCGCAAAGAGCAGAAACGCCCAAAGGCCTGGAAATGGCATTCTCTGTAGTAGATGGCTGCACACTTCCGCGGCACCTACGCAGGGTGTGTCTGTTCCTATTCTTGCCTTCAAAACTTCAATGCCTTCAATCACCACCCATGCTTCTCTTCTTGACTATGAGAATAAAGCGAGCAACAGTGGGTTCCAATTGCATTGCTGACCTCCTGCAAACCCACCCCAAGGCCCAGAGCTCTCTCTACAAGCCTCAAACACGTCAGATGAAATGTGAGACTCGACTGCACGCCACTATCCACGTCAAAAAGCGAAACACTGCGTCGTGTTGAAGAATTCCAACTAGTCTTGTTTGGGGTAACAATGAAACGCTGTTTTATGTGGGAAGCTGTCTAGGAATTTCATTGTTTCAGGCGGGTAAAGCCCCCCACGTGCAGCAATCACTTTGGTGCAGTCGGAGGGTGCGACTGACCTTGGAGCTTGGCGGTTCTTGCATCATTTTGCATCATCTTGCAGCACAAAAACTGTCCAAGCAGGTCAACGTACCTCAACCTGCCTCAACCTGCCACAACTGGCTCAGACGTGGTGTCATCGAAGGCTTTCCCTCAAGGTCTCGCACTTCGTCAACAATTTTCACCAAAGGCTCTGTCGCAAGCCGTGGCCTCCATGCAACAAAGGTTTTCGGATTCCAGCGTTGAGATTTGAAAATAGCACTTGGGAGTCCAGGTCTGGAGGCGGTCTGGATAAGCAAACATAAGTTTTGAGGGGAAGCCTCTCCGCCATCGTGTACCTTGCCAAGCTTGGAAGGTCCATGGTATCCTGGCAAACTCACAACGTTCAGCCTGTCTGGAACACTCTGACGAAGCCTTTCACAGAATGCTCAACCAGCTGTGTATGCCTTTCACATCGTTTCACAGTGCTCCTCCCGGCTGCGGAAGGTGAAGGGTTTCGACAGAGCCTGTCCAAAGCCCAAAAGCACTGAAAAGGTTGTGCAAAATTGTGCAAGTCCAAGTGAGAAACAAGTAAGAAATGAGGAAAGACAGAATGAGCAACGTCAATAGACTTTTAAATGGTGGGGCGTTGCAACACAGTGGAAAGGGGCGGCTTCAATGGTCCCTACCTCCTTGCATTTTCTGAACTGGTCAAAAGCCTCGCAGTGCACGGCACTTCTCAAACTCTCCATTGTGCTGTGACGTCTCAATTTGCTCTGTTTTATTTCATTTTATTTCATCAGTTAGGACAAACTCTCCAAGTTGATGATGCGGTATGTTGTGCTATGAAGCTGAAAATGACAGCATGCAAAGGCCTTTGGAAGACAAATCTATGTGGTTATGCATTCTATGGTCTTTTCAGTTTCTTGCGACGAAAGTGAAAACAGTTTCCACTTGTGTTGAACTTTCCAAAAGCGTTTGTCAAATGACTTGGCAATGGCAGGAACGGCAGGAACTTGGCACCGTCCCAACCTCTGCTTCCAGCACATGCTGGCCGCTGACAAGCTGCGCCACCACCTGGTGCACCTCCTGCAGCGTCCGAAGGCTGTGCCGCTGTGCCGCTGTGCCGTGCCGGGCATTTTTCGCTCTAAAAAAAAGACTTTGCTATGTTTTCGCCAATGCAAGCAATGCAGGCAATGCATTTCTGCTCACAACAAGGCTTGCATTTGTTGTTTCATCTTTATGTTTTCCTTTCGTGTCTACTTCGTTCGGAAACTCATTGCTATCCCCAATCTCCTCAAAAGCTTCAGCTTCGAAGGCCGCCATGGCAAAGCTTGTTCAAGTGAGAGCATTTCAGATGAAAGCCTAGATATGCCTAAATAAGCCTAAGTAAGCCTTAATACAATCTGATAAGGATCTACTGTGATTGTTGAAGCTCCCTAAGACTAGAATACACTGCAGCTTCAACAGGTCAATTGAAGTTGTCCCATGGTGCTTTCTAATGAACTTTTTTTGCCGAACCCTCGAAGCAACTCTGAGACTAAAAAGTCATTCTTCTCGACTTCTCCTCTGTGAGAGGTCTTTTTCATTTTATTCTGGTTCTTCGCATCGTCTTACAAATTAAGCTTGGAAATTGATAGTTAAGGCAGCAGAGCAGGGTGTTAAAAGTATTCTGTGTATAGATCCATGATCCAAAACGTGCAGTTATGTGCAGTTTAATCTCACGGTTGATGCGTCAGGAAATCAACTTGCAGATGCTTTGTCTCTGAATGGGAGTTTGCAGAGTTCTAGGTCGCTCGACACTCCGGTTTCAGGCACTTTGGCCTGTTCAGTCACCTGGTTTCATCAGGTGTCTCCACCTTACAGTCAAGCAGTCGCCAATTTACCAATGTCACAAGACTGTCAGGTAGCAACTTAGCTAGTCTTCGCTTCACAAACAATGACAGCAACAAAGCTTTCTCCTTCTCCACTTCATGCCCAAATCTCAGCATATGATTTTGTGTCCTATCTGATTTTGCTGTTGTTGCCTGTTCTTTGTACTGTGTTTCTCGAATGTAAGGTAAAGTTTTTACGTCATTTCTGAACCACCTCCGTTCCACCCATGTCTGCGACAGTAATACAGCATGTATGTTCGAATCAGTGCATGCCAAGTTTCACTACTCTTGATGCACACGGCGTATCTCTCTCTTAGTCCTGCTCAATGTACCAACTCATTTGTGGAGCCGATTCGTTTCGTAGTTTGTGCATCTCTAAAAACTCATGTCATGCCGGATACCAGTCCCCAATTTTTCTTAAACAATACCCTCTTAATACTCTTCAGCTTATCAAATGCCAAGGCCAAACAGCAAAGAATGGAAGCTCAACAGCTTGGAGTCCTTGGCACTTGACGCTTGGCCAGCACCTCACTTGCACAGGAGTGAAAGCTTGGCTTGTGGCCACGGCAACATCAAGAAATTGACCCATGAAAACAAAGTGATGTCCCAAAACTGCTGGCAAAATCTTGCGAGAACGCTGCGGGGAAGGTCAGCGACAGTGCCAAATTCATGGTTGATTCCAGGGAGAAACCCGAATCTAGAATCCTTGACCCTTGAAACCTAAGGAATGCGCAGCATGTCCGAAAGCCTGCCACTACCTTGTAGCCCTCGCAACAGCCTTCACTTCAGAACCAATGAGCGCCTTCTCTGCAACCCAGCAGAAACCTTTCAAGAGTTTAGGAAAAAACCGCCATCTGTCGGAACTCCACCTCAAAGATGCCCCAGTGCACTCTCAGTGAACATGCAAAGCCTGAACCTCCTGCAACCTTCCGGGACCGTATATGCAAGCTCCTCCAATCTCCACACCTAATGAGATCCTAATGAGAATTTGGCATTTTCCGCGACCCTCACCTCCCCAGCACCCCCGGTTGGGCTGAACAACCCAATTGCTTCGGCAGTTCGGGAATGAGAAAGTCCGACAGAATACCTACTGATCTTGGTGCTAGACCAGTCTCAGCTTTGTCTTCTGGGTCCTGGAAAAGCTGCTGAAGCAAGTACTGAGAGTAGCTGGAAAAGGGGTATCAAGTCAGTTGGCTTCTGTATTGTCATGCACTTTAATGGACTTTGTCCTGAGTTTCTGCGGCTTTGGTATCCTTCTCACCCTTCTCAGCCTCCTCAGCCTTCTCGGCATCTGCCTCCGCCTCAGCATCTCCTTCAGCTCCACCTTCGGAAACGACTTGATCAGCTTGATCCTGGTCTTCACCATCTTCACCATCTTCACCGTCTTCACCGTCTTCACCTGTGCCTTCATTTGCCTCTCCCTCGTCTCCGTCGTCTCCTTGGTCCTCTTCCTTCTTTTCCTGCTTCTCTTGCTTTTCCTGCTTTTCCTGCGTTTCCTCTTTCCCGCCTTTGGAATGTTCTTTTCCCTCTTTCTCTTCTTTTTCTTCTTTCTCTTCATCTTCATGTTCTTCCTCTTGCGCAGCTGTGGGCCGTACAGCTCGCACCACCTCAGAAACGCATGCTTCCTTGCTTCTACGATCGGCTAGAATGTCAAATTCGATCCCTTCCCAAGCTCCAAACAGCTGCTCGAGACAACCTCAGAACTGGTGTGCAACAGCTTGCAAAGGGTTGATGGTTCTACCAGAGACGCTTAAAACATGTTACAACTGTAGTTTCGTGGGATTGGAATGGAATGATTTTCATTTGTCGAACCTGCCGAATGTTTATGTGCATCCGAAGCACTTCTGCGAATCAGCAGCCTGTTCAGCTTTTCCGGCAAGGGCCTGCAACGCTCTGATCTTGTTAATGTTAGAGCATGTCAGAGAACCTGTGAAGTGTCTCAATGTCACGCCTGTTCCTTGACAGCCAATGCTCTGGCATTGCCAAAGTGAGCATCTGCCCCCTTGGCCGTGTGTTTTTTCCAACCGCTGAGGTGTCCATCTAGTGATCTTGGCAGTTGTAATACAAAGCCAGACTGACAAAGACACCTACAAGACATGGGTCTAGGGTGCCTGGCCTTGCGCTTTGCCCTCAGATCTTCGCCTTGGAGCATGCAGCAAATCACGGCTTGTCCCAAGCAAATAAACCCAAAGACGATCACAAAGAGCAAAACAATATGTGTGTCATGCCTTGTTTTCTTTGCACCTTAAACTATCTCCTCTAACCTTGCTTTGCATCCCTGTTTTGACGAACTGGGGGTATATCAAAAGTCTGTCTTTAGGAACCTGGTGTCGGTGTTTGGTGCTTTTGGGAACGTTGTATTGGAAACGCGTTTCCTTGTCTCTCAAACCAATTTCTTGGGGACTCTACGAGTCCGGTACAATGTGCTGTATTTCCTGACCCTTGGGAGCCTGGTGCTTAGTGCCTTTGGACGCCTTGTGTCAGCACTGCTGTGAGAACTTTGGCCCTTGAGCCTGTTCCTGAAATGTTGCGCTTCTGGAACATTCTAGCAGAGCGACCTAGTTCAGAAACCTGGAAACCTGGGCAATATAGGAATCATTGGGGAACACGAGCTTGGGCTGTTCCTCTTCGGCTCAAAGACCTTCACTAGGGTAGACCAAAAAGACACTTTTTGCTGAACAGTCACCCACAAACCGCAAAGGTTTCGAGCTGGCCAGTTGGCAAGGGACAAATGAAAAAGAAAAGAAAACCGTTCCAGCCAGAAAGGTTGCAAGTACAAGGGTTTCAAATAGCACTGACGGGTTTTCAAAGGTTCCAAACTAAGCATTGGAGAAAGGCACTCAGTTCCAAGGGGTTCCGACCAGGTAAACATCCCAGGGGACCTATGGGCTTTTGTGATTGTCCATTGCAGGCTTTGAGCAAATTTCGGTACCAACACTCTGCGGTGCCAACCTTCTCTTTTCCGCCCAGCTCTTGCTGCTTTTGCAGCTTTGGCGTTTTCTGACAGCTTCACTTTGGCACCTGCACAATCGGATTCGGAACCCTGCAGCATTCCCGTGAATCCCCTCACGCTGAAGCATCCCACCTCCAGCTGCCAAGTCCTCTGCACATGTGCATAAATGTTGAAAGTGCTTGAAGAACAGCATACGCTTCTGGGATGTAGGCAAACCGGCCAAACTTGCAGGCTTAGTCAACAGGTCAGGCAAATGCATTGGCTTGGGGGCGCATGTTTGGATGCGCCACAGACTCAGTAGCACCACAAGATTCCAGGTTTGTGCCACCGCCTTGTGGCTTTTTGGACCCAAAATGGGGTGTAGAAATGCACAAGTGATGCTGCTTTTGAAGGTGAGGATGTTGAAATACCAGCGTTTTCATCAGCTCTCAGAAAGAATAGAGCATTTTTTCTTGAAGCACTAAGCTCACTAAGCTAGTTTGCACATTTTGTAGCAATCTCTGAAACAAAGAAAACAAAAAAACTGTACCTAGCCGTTTTGGCGCTATTACAACGACAAGCTGCGATCTTATGTTTTTTATTGCGTTCTGACCATGACAGCGCAACAACGTGGTAGCAGAAGGCTGCACAATGTGTTGCAATGCTTTACCCCAACTCTGGTGGTTACTGTTCCACAATGATCTAAAAGTTTGACCTATTTCCTCCTCTTCATGCCTCCTTGCATGCTGCGGTGCTGACGGCACCCTCAGGCGAAGCGTTGTGAATCCGCCCGCACCGCTTTGGCGGTGAAGGCGTGCTTATTGGGGGGCAAAACAGCAACACTAAATGCTCAATCACATTTGTTAATATAGCAGTCGCTATATCAGCTTTAGCTGGGGGGGGGGGCCTAAAAACGGTTTCGCACCGAGACCAGAATTCGGTGGTGTTTTCGACGTTTTTCGAGGATTTTTGGGTGTCTGAGCGCACGAGGGTATTGAAATGGAATTTTGAGTCATTTTGGTAGCTTTCCGGCAATGGAAAAACGGCCAAAAATGAAAAAAACATGGTACATAGCAAGATTTTGCAGTGTTTTTGGATGCCAGAGCATTGAAAACACTGCAAAAACAAGTGTTTTGGACTGACGTTATAGCAAAAAACGTGTAAATTGCCGTATGTTTGACTGGAAGCATTACAAAAACACTGTCAAAAGCAATGTTTTGGAAGGATTTACTGCCTTTATGGCAAAAAACGTGTAAATTACCGTCTGTTTGACTGGAAACATTGGAAAAACACTGTCAAAAACAATGTTTTGGAAGGATTTCTTATATATATATGTTGGAGTTGGCTACCGGCATTGGAACATGGAAAAATTGAAGAAAACACTGTAAATAGCGGTATTTGAGGGGAGATAAGGGAATTGGATGCATTGTCGAACATGATGTTTTCGACCGGTTTTGTGGCGACAAAAGTGTAAAGTACCGTGCTTTGAAGGAAACCATTGCAAAAACATGGAAACACATTCAAAGAACACGGGATTTGGGGGACTATCTAGGCGTCGTTGTCTAGCTATTTGAAATTCCGCAGCTTGGAGAGCCTCCAATGGAGGGAAAAGTGAAAATTCCATAGCTTGGGAAGCTGTCACGGCGGGGAAAAGTGAAAATTCCCTAGCTTGGGAAGCCCCCACGGGGGGGAAAAGTGAAAATTCCCTAGCTTGGGGAGCCCCCACGGGGGGAAAAAGTGAAAATTCCCTAGCTTGGGGAGCCCCCACGGGGGGGAAAAGTGAAAATTCCCTAGCTTGGGGAGCCCCCACGGGGGGGAAAAGTGAAAATTCCCTAGCTTGGGGAGCCCCCACGGGGGGAAAAGTGAAAATTCCCTATCTTGGGGAGCCCCCAAGGGGTGGGAAAAGTGAAAATTCCCTAGCTTGGGGAGCCCCCACGGGGGGTGAGGTAGCTATCCCTCTGTTAGGGGAGCCCTGGATTACTATCTACAACACCTGCGGTCAGCGGCAAGACTGCGATTCTTTTCTACGCGGCTTTGCTAGTCTTGAGCCATGCGGAGTGCGCATGAAAGATATGAATTAGGTGTACATGTCAACATGCATGAAAGCATTGTGTAGACACGTAAAACAAAATAAATCACAAACAGACACAAATTTTCTTCGTGTCGGAACATGCAAGTCTGTTTCACAGGTAGCGCTCAGCCTGTGATCTGCTGTGAGACGGTCCGAAGACAAAAACAAAACTGCACAAAAAGCTACTATCCGCTGTTGGAAAGCGGTTGGTTTTCAGCTGTTGTCAAGCGACCGCAAATGCGGAACATTGCAATTTTTCTGGGGCTACAAGCCCATAGTGAAATAGTAACCGTAGAAACTCAACTCGTTTTGCCTACGGTGTTCCCCGGACTGATGAAAGAAAATGGACTGATCCGGTGTTTGCGCGATCATGTCAAGCCACGATCCGTCGTATTTCTGGACCCAACGCTGTCTGGGTACTTGGTACCCTGGGACGTATTCTACTTGAGTGGTATTGGGATTCACTCTATAGTACGACAGCTGATCATAGCTGTAACCGTAATTACGGTGTCCGGAAGAGCTGGAAGCTGTTCCTTGGTTAAGCCATTGCGAACCCGACAGGCGGGATGGAGGCGCAGGAGGCTCAGGCACGTTGATTGGCCTCTTTCTGGATGTTTGCCTCTGTTCTGCCTGCTGTGATCTCTCTCTCCACGGCGGTGGAGTCTTCGGTGGACCTGGCGGATCAGGTGGCGTTCGAGGCTGTTGTGAACCTAATGTTCGTCCGGGAACCGGAACTGGAGGAGCCTTTACAGGCGGCCTTGCACTTGAGGAAGATCCTGATGACGTCGGTGCGGATGGTTCTCTTAAGGATCTTGGTGCAGCTTTATATTGCACTGGTCTGGCCTTCTCTGCTGGAGCTCGCACGGGTGCCGGAGGCGGTGCTGGTGTTTCAGCTCTGGGTCGATATGTTCTGGTCCTGCTGACCGATCGACTTCGAGTGCGTCCAACATTTCGGTGTGAGTCAGTCCGCAAAGGCGGAACACTGTCTCTCCTTTCTTCTCGTTTTTCGAGATATCCTTGAGTTCTCTGCATCCATTTTTCACGTCTTTTATCTTCAGATTCCTTGGATCGGATGCGCATATTTTTCAATGCCTTCAATTGGGCATAGGCAAGGAGAGGTGAGTGCCATGCACAGTCTTTTTCTGCCAAACCAAGGTCATATGCCATCAAATGTTTTAACTGTTCAACATCGTTCAGCATAACTTCGTCGGAAAAAGCTGATCCTGCAAATCCATCTGCAGAAGCGGATTCTTCTTTTGCACGTGCTTCCGTGACAGCGATCTGCTTACCGTAACAAAGAGAAATTAAAAGCATTGAATCACAATCAGCATCATCTCCACGCATGCTTCGGATGTAATCGGCGGCAGTGGTCGATGAAACTACGTTATACGTAATACGGTTTATCGGACTGCGGTGAAGATTAATCTGCTGAAGGAAACGCTCCAAAATGTCGATCAGGATGCATGTCCGGAAGTCGGAATGATCATCTGCCTTAAAGCTTCGCTGTGCGAAAAGATTTCCGTCACCGGACAAAAAGTCACACTGATGTTCGATACAGCTTGCGACAAATTGGAGCCATTTCTGGCACGTTTCTTTATAGGCATTACTCCATGCATATGAGGAGATATGAAAAACCGCTATACGGCATTCAGCTAACATGAGACGTCGGACGTCATGGGTGTCAGCTCCAAGATTCACTTCACAAGCTTCCACTCCGGAGACGGCAAGGTCATCATCTCCGTCGATCTCGCGGATCGAGTGATCAAGAAAATCGAGTGAGGATGCAAGTGGGCGATCATGCTGGTAAACCGTAGATTCGGCATTTTTCTCGATGTCCGGTTTCGGAACACGAGCGCCAGAAGAAGGATCAACAAATTCTCCTGACGTGTTCATGCCATGGCAAAGGCGAAAAATGGCGCCATGCAAAATCCAAAAAGGTGCATCTTTAGTGGACGTTTCAATTTGGTGTTGACATAAAAGTTCAATAAATGAGCCTGCATCATGTGAGCCACGGCGAAAAATTGCAAGGGACTGTGACTGGATGTGCGGGTGCACTACCATGCCAATCATCCCATACTCTTCGGCAAGTTCTCGATGGACGGCAATTCCTCCGTACTCGTCGGAAGCCTCGCACAAGCACACAATATGGGCCGCATTACGGAACACTAAATGTGGCAATGCACGGTGGTTGATATCAGTTCGTACCCATTTTGGAAATTTTGAACAACCTCCGATATACGGAATACGGTTGATGTGACCAAGGTTCAACGTCAAAATGCCAAGCTGATACGTGTCCTTCTGAAATTCATGGATGTTGTCCTTAGTGCGCTTGGTAACACCGAGGATTGCTCTTTTACCAAGAAGGCACGATCTGAAGAGCTCCAATAAACGGAGAATCTCCTCTGACGTAAGGTCACCGCCATCAGGGTACTTGAAGAAAGCCTCAGGTCGCCAGATCGGAAGTGGCGTCTGGTCCTGGGCATCAACAAAGTGCTCCTGGAGAGTCGGAATTCGACATCCAAATGGCATTTCATAAATAAATTCTGTATAATCAAAATCTTCAATTCCATGACGTGCAAAAGACTGAAGGTAAGTGTTTCCGATGGAGCGGCCCTCACGCAGATGCGTGATCAGTTCCGAGAATTTTTCTTGGCGATTTTGAGCATGCTCTCGGCGTGTGGCTCCGAAATACGAAGATTCAGCAAGAACAGCGTCAACCAAGTCTTCGATATCGAAAGGCGATTTGGATGAGCCGATGCTGTCTGGAATAAAATCGGAGGACAACTCAGAGGAAAAATTAACAATGTTATGTTTGCAAGATAAGCCGCAGGTGCGGCATTCCAAGCAGTAGGCAAAGCCACAAGGGTGGCACCAGAACATTGCCTCTGAATTTCCGCAGTCTTCAAAATTCTTACAGCATTGAGGACCCGCAGGGCGAGGAAACCATTGAATTTCATCTGTATCCTTTTTAAACTTTGTGAAAAACTTTTGGGCTGCGTCCGCATCACGGAACAAATCCTTTGCCTGGGCGTTCATCTCACGACGTCTTTTTGTCTTGATAACCTGTCGGCGGCCGCCCCAGGGAGATGCGGCATGCA